TAGGGCTGAGTAGCAAAGGGAAGCTCTTAGTACCCAAAATGCTCCATTGTTACGCCAAGAGTTTGGTGGAGGATTCGAGCTTGGGGGTCTGGATATCGAGGTACCTTCCTCCGCATCAAGCGGCTTTTGTGGAGCAATGCATCTCTCAGAGAAGACAAAGCCTTCTCGCTTCAAGGAACTGTGGAATACTCCCTTTCGATTCTCGTTTCAGATACCTGTTTCTGCCCGACGACAACACCTCGTTGTAATGACATTTTGAAAACTTTGTTCCGTTTGTAAAAAGCTTTAACCGACTTCATAAGAATGAACAGTGGGAGGAGGCTGTTTTCATGATCATGATTACACTATTAGTCCAACATAGCTTTTCGCTTTATAGTGTACAATGTTATTCAGGATATGCATATTAATTTTGAGAAGTCTCAATATGTCTTAATAACACTATTTATGAATCCGGACCACCAAGCAGGTTTGCAAAATTTAAAGAACTCTGAATTTTCCATAATCTTGTTCAAAAAGACGTAAATGTAACTTGAGACTAGTGATCTATTTAAGTGCGAGAAGTGTCAACATATTTTGATCATATCGACGTTTTAATAGCTTGTGTTGCTGATCAGATTTCTACAACTAAAATCTTTACCAATTAAATTAAAGTTACAATTGACGACCACAGCCAATCAGCTCCTTAGTCTTTCGACATGTTCTCAAGATATTTCTGCAGTTTTTTCCTGACCCTAGGATTCTTTTGTTTATGTCTCTTCCTACACAACTTCAATAGGTCCCAAAACTTCAGACTTAGCCAAAGTATGATGTCGTATCACCTTCTGTGAGCTCCTCTCACGGTTGTATGCTTCAACCTACACCATGAAAACAAAGCACAACAAAATCAAACCTTAAATCAAAAGTAATCAATCCAAAAAGGTAAACGCTCTGGATAACGAAACCTTACTGCTTCTCTAATTATCTTAGTTGTTGCAGCAGCTCTTGAGGAAGCAAGACGCAGGCAATGAAGGATTACACTCTGGTTCACGCCTTCTTCTCCTGGTTTCTGGATTGCGCATATATCGCCATTGGCATTGACTGTCACAGTCATTCTCCCAGACATAACAGCTTCTTCAACAACTGTTGGGTCCATCACCTGCATAAGAATACAATACACTTCTAATCTCAGAAGCAAACCAAAAAGAAGTAAACTAAATTATCAATAAACGAAACACAATTCTTTTACCAAGATACTGCCTTTATTAAAAAATCCAAACGTGAAGGCTATTGGGAGATGATGTATTATCAACGGAAGTGGCTCCCTTTCCTGCAAAAGAAACCAAATATAGTACAAACAGTTGAAGCTGAGAATTTTAGTTATTAAGTTCATCAACTAAACTGAAAAATATGAATTACTAACTTCGGGTGGGTGTATGATCACTTCTTGACTGTTCTCCCCTCCTACAGTGCAATCAGGTCTCCTGAATGTCAAGAGTGCCGCTAAAGCAGCAATATTTGCAGCATCAACCAAGTTCCTGTAAGAGAGTGAGCAACAAAATACACATAAAAGATCATTCTTACAACAAGAACCTTCAATAAACATGAAGAAGAAATGCAGCCAATTCAACCTACCCTCAGTTGTCCAAAATGTGAAGATCAATGCGAACAGACCAGACCAGCTTTCCAGCAAAAACACAGAGCGACTCTGTATCTACTACACGGCTTTCTCTGCAACCACCAACACAAAGACCTATCAATCCAGCCACAATATCCAAAGTTTATGTTTGTAGCATCGATAGAGATTAAACAAAAAGAGAGGTTTACCTTAGAGCACGGTCTATAATACGGCCCAGCTCAACAGCAGATTCACCAGGATGAACAGGCTCAAATGATGGATCAGCCATTGGAGAAAACTCCGTGAAGATAGAGAAGGAGCCTTCATTAGGTCTGTCTTTGTAAGGTTGTACTAGCTGAGCAGTCACAAAAGCCATTACATGAGTCTGACCCAGTTGAACTTCTGAGCTACCATATTCCCTATTAAAAACTCCCACAAATTAAAACCTATCTTCAGTAAACAACATTATAAAACCAGAGATCAAAAGTACAATGAAGGAAAGAAAAGCATGTTTGTACTCATTCTAAAACCCAAAAACAAGTGAAAACCAGATCACAGAATTACATGAGAAAGCCAAATAGATTCAAACATATCACAAAAAAAAAAAAAAAAAAAATTGAAGCTTTAAAGCTTAACAATATCAATATATAGGAGAAGAACTAACTTGCCAAACTTAATAGTAAGCTTGCGGTAATCATAAAGGCCACGACCATCGACTCTGAGCTCAGATTGCAACGCAGATTCCACGAATTTACTCTCATTCACAGTCACCCTCCACTTATTACTCAACCTCCCATCCATTGTTTGCAGTTTGCTAGTTTCTATTAACACGAATTCAAACAAAACAAGAAAAAGGCCAAAACTTAAAGAATATTCAAAGCCTAGAATCAACATAAGTAGCTTACAAAGGGAGATAAACAACTAACCTTCCGTTAGCCTCTCAACGAGTTGCAGCGGGAAAGAGAAAGCTAGGGTTTTGTGGCGCCAGGATTTTGGGTAGGGAGAGACTAGAGAGAGAGAGGGATTGATCTCATCGAATTTCCAATTTAACCCCTCATCTTTTCAATATTTGTCTTAGGCCCCATTTATCTCTTATTAATAATTTGTGAATTAATTTTGAGAATTATCAAAGGGGAAAAAACCCGAAAAAACCGCCATCTATTTTTTATTTGGCCGTTTAATACGTGTAGTTTTAAAATTGGAATAAAAATATCTACTTTAATTATTGTTGTCTTTTAAATACTTTGTTTTTTAAATTTTAGTAGATTTGTACCACCGCGTTAACGGCCGTTAACGATGGTAACGGAATTCTAACTGCAGTTAAAACTTAAACCATTGTGTTTACGTATATATATACAATTTCTTTTCAAAGTTATACTAATATATTGTCTTAGTCAAGTGGTTAAACGAGTGGTGATTAAACCATTGGGGGCTGAGTTCGTATCCTCCTTCCGTCCCTCTTCGACGTTTTAATTTTTTTTTTTTTTTTTTTTGACTTCACCGATTCTCCCCATCTTCGACGTTCCGAGAGCTAGAAGAATGACACATCGTAAACGGTGACGGAGGCAGAGAGAGGCTAAATCCGGCGCCGGTTTTTTCCTCCACCGACACCGAAACCGGCGGATTTGACGGCGGCAATGAATCAAAGGAGAAGAAAGACGATGGTTGCGACATAGACCGAGAATGCCTAGGTTGTAAAGTCGTCGGGATCTGAGAGTAAGGAGAAATGGGAGGAATCGGCGATGGAGCCCCGGTGAAAGGCTGACGGAAGTGATGGTGAGAGCTGATATGAGAAGGATTCAAGTGAAGATTCTGTTTAGGCATCGAAGAAGACAAAGTCAGAAAAAAAAAAAAAAAAAAAAGTTATAAACGTCTGAAAAGGATAGATGTGGGACTCGATCTCTGGTTCGGGGTGGTTAGTTCAACACATACATTACCACTTGACTACAGCAATACGTTGGTATAGGTTTCAAAAGATATTGTATATATATACGTAAACACAATCGGTTAAGTTTTAACCCTAGTTAGCAATTCCGTTACCATCGTTAACGGCCGTTAACGCGGAGGTACGAATCTACCAAAATTTTAAAAACAAAGTATTTAAAAGACAACAACAATTAAAGTAGGCATTTTTATTCCAATTTTAAAACTACACGTATTAAACGGCCAAATAAAAAATAGATGACGGTTTTTTCAGGTTTTTTCCCTATCAAAAAGATAAAAGAAAGAAAGTAATAATTACTAAGAGATTCACAAAATATTGATTTCTGTTTAACGTATCTATGATTGGTCTATATATAGCGAATATTCTGGTTTTTAAAAAGGAACCTTAATAAATATTAAATACCTGATTTTTATACTATCAATTAGTAATAAACTAGATTTTAACCCGCGGTGCACCGCGGGGCTATATTTTCTTAAAAAAATCAAAATGTAATTTTTTTGATAGATTATTTTGATTTTTAATTTTAGGATTTCACCCGTGGTATACTATCTTTTATAAATATCAACCCAAACCCGTCCCATCATATTACCCGTCCCGTGAAATTAAACATCATTTAGTTATTTTTCTTTTTAATAATACTTTTATTTAAAAGCTATATAATTCAAGTCAATTTAAAAATTTCTTTTAAATGGTTCCCATAAGATATATATACATATATATTAAATTTGTATAGAGTTGAAATAATATTAATATTACAAACTTTTTATATAATTTAAATATTATAAATATTTTTTAAAAATATGCAATATATATTTTTTGTTATTGAATAAGAGGATATTATGTGTAAGAAATGTAGAAAATAAGAGTTTAATATTTTTATTATGGAGTCGCAAGAAAAATCTTTTATTTCTATACATGTTATTCGTTTATTAATAATAAAAGAAAACAAATCCTTTAAATTAGATATTAACTAAAATAAACGCACCATAATTACTTATTAAGTAACAACTAACAACCAATAAATTTCACCAAAAAAATAGGTAACAACCAATAAATTCTAAACGCAGTAATTAAAGAATAAGATATTAAAAAAATATATCAAATAAGATATAAGAATCTTAAAATAATTGAATATCTAAATAATTTAATTGTTAGTGTCGATTTTAATGCCTTCATTAATGTGCATTTTTTTTTTTACAGAAAAATATTTCCTAAAGATTATCACATTAATGACTCAGAAAATTAAGGAAGATATGAATTTATGATTCTCGAAATCGTGTTGGTAATATCTTTAATTAAATTTTTCAAATTTAAATAATTAATGCCAATGGCATTCATCCGTAAATACATTCCAACTCCAGGATTTATTTGCTAAAAGTCATCCAAAAATGTATATATATATCAAAATCACAATTTCCAAAATATATATGAAATCGGAAAGCAGTTAACAGAGTCCTTGTATATATATTCCGTTATCGTCGTCACCAAAGCAAGGTTCTTCTTTGGCATCATCTTCTGGTTCATTTCCAAATCGTAAGTTTACTTTTTTTAGTTGATACATTTACGTTATAATGTTATACAATCTCTCGCATGTTCTAGATCTAGAGGAATCTTACAATTTTTGTTCATTTCACTGTCGAAAAATCTCAACTTTATGATCATAATAATCAATGATTTTGGTGGGTTTTAGGTTGTGTAAATGGGTTCTAGTGATTTAATCAGCAAGCTGCCAGATGAGATTCTCGGCAAAGTCTTGTCATTTCTTTACTCATATCGTGTTGCTGTTTCCACGTCGGTTCTTTCCAAGAGATGGAGGAATCTGCATTTGCTTATAGACAGACTTTATTTGAATGACGCACAAGGCGATCCTCAACACTTCTGTGATTTCGTGGAAGACACGCTTCATCTCTTGAGTGATTCCCCCACCCTCAAGAGTTTCTCTCTGTATTGTGCATTTACGCATGACTCTTCTGAGATGGGCCAATGTATTGACACTGTCCTCGAGCGCGGCTTCTTGGAACTTAACTTGTTGTTCGAAGATACGCATTGTATGGACGTTGAGTCCTTCACTAGCAACACACTGGTTAAGTTCTCATTATGCGATTTTTACCTTGAGTTTGAACCTCCTCCTGGGGGCGTGTTTTTCCCAAAGCTGAAAAAACTTTCTCTAGTTCAAGTGGAGTTTACAAGTCATAAGATTTACAATGCTTTCATCTCTGGCTGCCCTGTGCTTGACGAATTCTTCCTACATAATCATGATGATTACATCAATTTCCCGGCTTGGAATGGGACCGTGGCGAGTCTTTCCATCAAACGACTGACCATCTCTTATCATTGGCCCCATTACCCTAAGGGTCACAAGGGTTTTTGTTTGTTTGATACACCCAATCTTGTGTGCCTTGACTATTCTAGTTATGCCGCTGAAGATTATCAGGTTAATTTGGGTTCCCTTGTAGAAGCTACACTCGATATTCACTCATGGGAGCGACTTCCAGATGACTACTATTATTATGAGGATGGTGATACAGAGGATATTGTTGGTGATGTTACTAATCTGGTTGCAGGGATGAGCAATGTTAAAACCCTTCACTTGTCCGCTGATTCTCTTGAGGTTAGTCTTCTTCTTCTATTGGTTTATTCAATTTGAAGTGCAAGGCTAGCTAGCAAAGTCTCATTTTGTGTATATTTTTGTTTTTGGTTGTGACAATAAATCCAGGTATTTCACTCGTGCTGTAAATCAATACCGTTGTTTCCCAACCTCGTTACTTTATCTTTTGAGAGTGACAAAGAAAGAGGCTGGCAAGCAGTGCCACTTCTCCTCAACAACTCTCCAAATCTGGAAACTTTAGTCATCAAGGTATCATCAATTTCGTTCGATCAACACACACTTCTGTTTCTTTATTTTTGTCATGAAGTTTGCTTCTGCCTTATATTTTTCTTTGCTTTAATATTGTACATGAATCTCCTTTTGCTTTCAGGGTCTTGTGCATGAAGTTACAGAAAAATGCGGGGACGCCTGCGCTTGCATCCCTAAGAAGGATAAGAGGAAGAGGAAGAGGACGAAGACGGAAAAGGGAGTATGCTGTTTATCGACATGTCAAGTGAAGGTGCTAAATATTTCAGGGTATCAAGGTAGTTGTGGAGAGCTGAAACAGATGAGGCATTTCTTGGGAAATTTGAATTGTCTTGAAACTGTCAAGGTTGATGTTGAAGTCGATCAAGGCAAGGATGTTAAAAGGTACATGAGAATCACCAATGCTCTTATGAAGCTTCCCAGAGTTTCATCAAACTGTCAGATCCATTTCTAGTGAATTCTCTTTACTCTTGTAGAATCACCATGTGAATTCTAGTACTTTAGTGTTTGGCAGTGTTTTTTCCGTTAATTTCATTGGCTTTCGCCATAGTAAGATCATTTCTATATACAGTATTTTGAGTTCTTTGCCTAATGAGTAATGACTCCAAAATGCTTCTGGGTCTTGGTTTCGTTCAATTGGATATTATACTCTACTGTTCTAGTTGAGTAAAAATTGAAAACCTGCATTTCTAGTCTAGTATATATTGGCTTTATTAGCTTTGCCAAAAATACTACATATACAATACGAAGGGATCAAAGAGTAATTAAGATCCAATTCAGTAGTCGAATTCAATAGGATTCAATGAACAGAATCACCAAAAATTGAATCAAAATCACAATTCACATATACACATGTCTATACCTTAGAATACATGTAAGAAAAAATATCTATGTACCTCCTCGTCGAACCTAAATTAGCAGTTGTGGTCTGCTCATTTTCCCATGAGCTCTCCTAAACTAGCTTCTTGAATCTCCAAATTAATCAACCAAAAAATATCTCATTCTTTCTTGATTCAATTGCCATTTGCATCGTTACTTCTGGCACGAACCCTTGACCCCCTAGACAGAAATGATAACATGTCTCTGTTAATCAGTCAGGAGTGGAGGTCGTTGCATCAGCAGCTCTCTGCCGCACCATCTCCATCACCGCTGCTCTGCGTCTTGAATCTGCCTGTTGCTGCTTTCTACTAAAATGAGCTCTCAACTCTCTGAAAAAAAAACATGTCAGATCATTATTAAACACCAACTTCTTGAACTAATCTATTCTGATCATGGAAAATTTGCTTTCTAAGTAGTTAGTTTACGTACCTGCATTTGGGGACTTTGCATTGGGGATCTCTGCAGTTTCGAGAGTGCATTCGGAAGAGGGCCCACATTTTCTTACAATGGCTGCAACCTCTGGTCTTGCAGGCAAGACCATGCCTAATGAGACCCTTAATCGCGCGACACCTTGGATACTGGCACTGTGCAGTGCAGCATGCCATTACGTGTAGCAGCAGCTCTCTTAACTGCAGTACCAACAAGCCAAACCGTAGTTAGCAATAAGGAAAAGAGAAGCCAAGGGATGCAAACTCGATTTTCTAAACATAGGTAAACCGACACTTGTCTAGCTACAAAATATTTTGAAAGGAGTTTTGGTAAATCCTACGAGCAGTTTAGCCTATCTATCTTTCCAGCTTTGATTTAGTGAATAATTATGTATGCATATGGACATCAATTCTGTGATCAAAGCTAAAACAATTGAAAGAAAAGGAATACCTGGGCAGTCTGAATTTGATTAGTTTGTGTGTTCTGTACAACAGAATCTGTCGCAGATGGACGGCCAATGAGGCTATGTGGATGGTTGATACCTTTTGAGTAGCAAGCATTGCAAACTTCATAGTCAGGGCAAACTTCGCAACGCCAACCTTGAGCAGTTTCAAGTTCTTGCTGGCAGATGGCACATGCCGTTGCAAATGCAGGGACGGTTGGGTTGTGAAGGTGATAAAGAATCATCATAGAAGAATGTTTTGCCCGTCTTAGTGTGTCGTACTGATAGTGATTACCTTGGCAAAGACTCAGGAAAGCTTGCCTAGTATCAAAGAACTCGCTCTCGAGGATGGCATCATTGTCCTTAATTTCAGTAGGAATGTCGTCAATGGCAACCTGCAGAGACCAAAACCTTGTCATTTTCCAACCCAACAAGGAGGAAAACAAAAAAAATTAGAGCCCTATCGCGGTAGAAACTTACAGGATAGAGTACATGCTTCTCCTTCTGATTGACGGGATGTTTTTCCTTTTCCACACGGTTCTCTTCCACTTCCTGACACCTGTGGTAAAAGAAAGCTTGAGAGATACAGCCAAAGAATGTATACATACTTCACAGGCAAACCTGACAAACTAACCTAACAAATTCAGAATACACCAAGTGCTTAAAAGCTAACACTGTCTATCTCTCATTTTAAAACTAGACAGCCCCTCCCGCAATCGTACTAGAATACTGCTTTTTAGTTCAGTGAAGAAATTTCTTTTTGCTGGATATTTCAAGAGACTATTGGAAATTCTGAATTTATATCGCATCCAAATATAGTTGATTTAATTAAACTATACAAGTATCATATAAACAAAGTGAGCCGATAAGTGTAACTTACTTGTCACAAATCTGAAAATTCTTACACTGGTTGCACACCCAACGATTTCCAGATACCATGAGAGTGCAACAATGCTTACAACAATGTTGCAAATGAACCATGATGAAATCTTCCTTCATTGGGAGGATGATCTCACCCAGCTATAGAGTAACAATCAAAAGTTAGGGGGTTGATATTATCACTTTCTTCAACAAAGGCATGAAGAAAAGGCTAGATTATCAGTGAAACAATGTTAACAAATAAAGAGAAAACTTAAAGGAAAAGAAGTTACTTTATGCATCAGCAGGAGATCCTTCGAGGCATTAACAGAAAGGTCCAACTGACCTACTGCTTTTAGAGCCCTTTTCGATATGACCTTTTTGGGCATTAGTTTTCTATTTGACTTTTTGCCATCCTCTTCTTGGCTCATTTGATCTATTAAATCCTCAGCAGCACCTGGCCAGTAGTCGCCATCAAAATATGGCAACCTTGCTGCTGTTACCTTAGCTCTACATTCACCAGACTGGACGAAAAAATGGTCATAGAAGTTTGTACACTCAACGACCACTTTTTCCTTAGAAGCTTTCTTTAGCATTGCTAGATACCTGAAAAGGAAGGAGTATTATGCATCATTATATGCAATATTCTCTCTTACACGTGAAAAACAAGTATTACAAGAAAATATTTATTCCATACCATTCCCTTAGTTTGTCAGTTTTTGGCGTTTTCTGAATTTCAGGATGGCAATATAGAATATAATCTTCACCCTTAAGAGGGGGGCATGCCCATATATAGCAGCTTGAAAACCCACGTTTCTTACAGTAATCAAGGTAACCAATCTGCAATCCGAAAAACCCATTGTTAATAAGAATTGGGAAGCAACACAGGTGCCTGAGAGCAACCAGGATCAGAAGAAAAGCGGCTTACCAGAATTTCATGGTATACGAACGTACGGAGGGCCTCTCCAGATACTGTTTTAACGTCAGGTCTGAAGTACTTAACTGAGTCCAGATAGGAAAGGTATACCCGGCGCTGATTGGGAGACGCAGAATCTGTTCCAAATTCCTGGACATACATGCCAAATAAGCATACTTCAACACCTTCAATCTTCTGAAACAACAGAATGGCCTGAAAAAATATATATATATTGTTAGTAAGGAAGTTGATAGTCAACAGGCATCATGTAGTAGTAGAAGGGCATAATTAGAAAACAGAAAGAAGGAAAAAAAGAACCAAGCATACACAATCTGTACCTTAGACTTATAAGGGAATTCTGATGAGTAATTATCTTCTCGGAAAATGTCAAGGAAACGTGGCTTTACTTCTAATATTTTGTCGACAGATGCTACAACTCTGATAACAAGCGAGTCGGCTCCCGGGACCTGGTATATCAACAAAGAAGGAGATTTGATCGTATCTTATTAGCCCTAGCCTTAGCTTTATTAAAGGAAAGAGCATTATAAGAAACAAGGCATCAAGCATGTAGGTGAATTTTCTAACAATAAACTAGGTTTGTATCTTTCTGTATGCCATTCTCCAGTGTGTAAACCTCATAAGTCTCTCCAAAAAATCAACATAATATGGTTAAATGTGGCAGAAAACACAGCAAGCGGTCACGACAGAGATATACAGTGGGAAATAAGCCCAAGATTTATCGGAAAAGTTAATAATCACCTCCTCGTAGCTTTTTCCTTGAAGTCTAGCCCTCTCTTGTCTTTCCTGCTTCAATTTCTTGAACAACCGCTGTTCTAAATGGTTGCTAAGAGTACTGGCTGGCAAACTTTTAGCCCCCAGAATAACACTTTGTGATACCGGTTTCCTTTCTCCTTGTTCCACTTCTTGTATATAGCAATTAGGGCAAGTGTACTCGGCTTGCCCATGATTCCTACGGCCGTTGAACAAAGCACAAATTTGATGCTGCCATGCTTGACATTTATCACATTGCACCCACTGCACAGAATTAATGGTTCAGAAAAAAAGAGTAGAGCAGCTAATATATAATCCCTATAAAACAATTGCAGAACTTCAATAACTGAAGAGGCGTACCGATTCTTCAACCTCTTCATCATTTTTCTTTTTCTCAAACCTTGACTTCGGTACAGAAGCACCATCAACAGAAACAGTGTTTGCACGCGCTTCGTTGTAACAAGGAATACAGACATAATGCCGTGACTCACCAGCCACTACCGTATAGTGCATAGCGTTTCTCTTGACACGTGCCCCACAAGGTGTGCAGTAAATAGGTGTTGGCTCAAATGCAAGCCTCTCAACAGCACATAACTGGCAAGAATTCTCAGACATGGAGAGTCCCATTGCTTTATTTTTTTCTGCCTTGGTTTTACTCTGAAATAAAATTACAAAGAAAGAATAACTGGCATTAACAGCTGTCGGCCATGTGCAACTCAAGTTTTTTCATAAATAAAAAGGTACGCAGAAAGAGATAGAAAGATTCAAACAACACCAAATAGACCTAATAAGGAAAGAGGAAACTGCCAGGATAAATTGAATATCTTTCTAGGTCGCCCAATCTTTCATCTTAAACAAGATTTGCATCTAAAACTTTGTTAGCTTACCTGGCCTACCCACTGACGAAGACCGCGGATATGCTCCTCTACTTGCTCTGGAGTGAACAACTCAATCAGTGAGACTCCTTTGATCTTTGACTTTCCGCTATTAGACGCAGATACAATGCCTAAAGACTGTTCCGCATTCTCTTCTTTGGGTGCGCTTATTTCAGTCATACGCTTTGGTTTTTCTTGCTTCGATAAACGAACAGTTTCACCATCTTTGTAAACAGGCTTCTCCAGCTCACGGGAAGCTGGAACAAGCCTTCTTGAAGAATCAGAACTACCTGCATTCATAGGCACATTTGATCTGACAGGTTTGCAAACATCACTTTGTAGCCTATCTTTCTCTTGCAAACCCATTGAAAAATGAGCTTGACTGACACCAGCAGATATTGCCACTGGGATGCCCTGTGTGTCAGGATAAGCAAATTGAGAGGGTTTCTCTACTTTCTGGCGCTTCGGAGATGGTTGCAAATCATCAACAACAAATGGAGCTTCAGAGTCTTTTTCACTAGAAGTACGCATAGACTCGAAGGATTCCTTGGGTCCATGCTTTAAACTAGCTGAGCTAGGCTCAGCTCTTTTGAGGAAGGTAAATTTTTCTTTTTGTTTCTCCTTGAAGTTTTTGACAAAAACACAGACTGGACATGCTTCATTCCCGCAGTGCTTGTAATGATGAATCAATTGTCGGGTTTGACGACAATATTGATATGCGCAAGCAGAAGCCTTGCAGTAATTGATATGTTTCAACAGCGTTTTGGCTGTAAAACAATACTTGCTTTCACAGTTATCTTCTGCAGCATTGCATTTTCGTACGTGTAGCAGGAACAAAAGCCACCGCCTCTGATTTTTGTAACTTAGACCACAATCTCCATTCAGCTGTTTACTCAAGGCATTGTTTCCTACTGGGAGATGTGGAACCTCCAAGGTGCCTCTAGGAGCAACAGTTTGGCAGTTTGTAGACTCTCTTACAGACGAACTATTATTAGTACCTTCATGCTGCATATGAAATCTTACCCCAAAATGTTCTCTCTCTTCATTAGAACTTTTTAATATTGGTGTCAAGTTCTGCGAAGATGAATGCCACTGACCCAGACCTGATACTGGCTGCACTCCAGCTGAGAGGTTGCTCGAATCTTTCCATTGTGATACCTGCTGTGCCTGATGAGTTTGTGGTGGGAAAGATGGAGACATCTTTAGCTCGCTACTAGAAACGGGTGCACTCTGAGCACCAACATACTCGTCCTTCACAGCATTCTGCTTGTATTGGTTTTGCGGCTTGGATGGTTCTCCTTTATTTATAGCCTGCATCTGAAAAGCTTCATTGTAGTATTCCACGCGAGGTTCATTCTTAACTTGACTAACTAAATTTGAAGCTAGCTGAGATCGACGATAGCCATCATTATTCAGTAAGAGCTCTTGCTGCTGGTATTGACCATGATGAGCTTGTTGGTTGAATTGACGTTCTAATGGTCGACGACTCACCTGAGCCAAATTTTCTTTGGAACTGGAAGAAGATTGGAAATTCCCATTCTCGAACTGATGATGTAGTTGAGGCTTTAGCAATGGATTGTTTTGCAGACTAGACTGACTACCGAATGAAGCATCAACTCTCCGCATAGAATTCTGGCTCATGGAATTCATATCCACAGCAGTTTCCATTGAGCCCGATGATGTTACACCTCCATAGAGATTCCCAGACCCAAAAGTACCAGAGTTACTCATTGAGTATCCTTCACATGAAGAAAACAACTTCCAATTAGCATACCACTATGAGTTACATACTCGTCAGAAGGATAACGCGAAGGGAGACGAACAAGAGAGCATTGATATTTAAACTGCATTAAATAAAAGGAAAATTAGAGAGATTTACTGTTCACATGTGACACCTGCAACTGATCGACAGGCTGCTGCAAGGGTTGGGATAACGTTGAATAATGCGTAGAGCTGAGGACCCCTTCCGAACTCCTGGGCCCATTAGCAAGGTTTACATTGTTCCCGCTCATCCCTACACCAGCATTTAGCGGAATATTGGTCATCCCAGATGTATTCTGGTGAATATTTGACCTGAAACCACCTCCCAACTGGTGATCAAGGTTGTAAAGCATACGGTCATTTGAACCAGTAGGACGTTGCTTCTGCAGCTGAGATGGATTTCCAATGTCAGACCCAGCAGCCAGAAGCTTGCCACCATCTCCAGAATATTCTTCATTTCGATGAGACTGATATACATCAGCATTAGCAATATTGTCAAATCCAGGAGTAGGAATCATCTGGCCAACCGTAGATAATTGCTGGCGACCATTATTTATTGAACCTGCCGAAATATAGTGTATGAATAAAAGAATCGGGACAGACTTTTTGACTCTTTGTAGTGTCAAACTCAAAGGTATACAATAGAATCTAACATCAAATCTGACTGATACTACCTCTGTTCATGTGATTAGTTTGCAATAGTCGTCCGGTTTCGATTGTTGCATCTGATAAGTTATTACTACTATTGAATGTGCTTGTATCCACCATAGGGGTGGCCGTATAACTTTGATTCCATCCATGTGAAACCGCAGGTGTCTGAACCATCGTACTGACCGAGCTTGAAGGATTAGCACGGCGTTGACTAAGAAGTTGTTTCAGATTAGATTCAATGCGAACGTCGAAACTTCGGAAATCTAAGTAATCCTCCTGCCAAAAGAAATTATCATCAAGAACAATGACCACCTGTGCAACACTAAAGCTTCCCAAGTACTACTTAGCTGGGAATATATATATCAAACTGTAGCAATGAGAAGATCGAAACGGGAAGAACCTTAGACTTAGCCGTTCTCAACATTGCACTCTCTAACCGTTTTGCAACCTCAATTAACTTTGCCTTGGAAGCATCATCAGTCTTTGAAGGCTGCCTCTGCTGTAACCAAGCGTAGCTGGAGAGAATGAGGAATAATGCATAACAATCAAATAAATAAGAGTGTTTTCCATTTACATAAACTTTACAAAACAAGAGATCACCTTAACAATCAAATAAATAAGAGTATTGTTAATGCAGTAGCATCACAAATTCCCTTAAAAGTAAAGACCATAAGACTTGACAGGAAATCAGGAATCCAAGAGATTGTCAATGAGAGAAGAAATTAAACTACGTAAGCAACTAGAACCAGCAAAAAGTATTTCAGTGGTACATGCACTATAAAAAGACCACATACACAATGGAACATACAATAAGTAAGAGTCAAGCATAAGCAAGTAAAGTGAAAACAGAGAAACAATCTTACATTCTATTGAGCATATCCTGTCGTAATAAGAGATTATCACGAGATATGCCATTGACCATATTAGGCTGAGAAGAAACACTAGAAGCAGAAGCTGCAACAGAATTCTGCATCTGTCCTGGCTGAAGAACTGTCCTATTCTGCCCCTGAGCCATTCTCAATATGATTCAAACACTTGCAACAGAAGAATGTGTATGGAGCTAGATGCCGCGCCAAAGAACCATCATCCACAATAAGCTTCACAGTCTACAATTTTAAAAAAAAAAAAAAAAAAGACAGAGATTTGAGCTCGCAGATGCAGTAATAAGCAGAGAAATACAGAACAAATACACACAAGTCGTGAATTACACCAAGTTAAAAATTGAAACTTTTATTCAAAGTATCCATTGCCCGGATTCGCGAAACCATCCAACTAAATCAAATTGGGGGACAATTGGTAATTTCAACACAAACCCTAGCTCGAGATCGAAACCAAATAACGAATGGACCAATACAATTGAAAAAAAAAAAAAAAAAACCTAAACCTGAAATTTGGGGGAATCAGCAATTCCAATCGGAAAAGGGCAACTCGCAATAACACGACGGAGAATAAGATCAAAACCGGCAAAAATCGATGCCGAAAGAGGAAACAAACGGCGAGAGACAAAAGAAGGACGACGACGGAGAAGGGGAAAGGTCGGTGCGCGTAGGATAATGACGGGGTTAAACAAAATATCCTTTTTTGGTGCGAAAAGCCGATATTTATTTTTTTACCGACCAATTCATAAATTCATGATTTATGGCAAAAAACAGAATAAGAAAGAAAAAGGAAATATTAAAATCCAACGGACAGAACACAACACAACACCCGGAGCTTTTTTACCCAATCAAAAATAAATAAATATTCAGACCGAAGAAGCCTTTAATTTTTGTATTTCTCTCTCTTCCACAAAGTCAATCACATAGAAAATTAAAAAAAAAAAAGCAGACAAACCAAGTGGAAATTAGTTATTATGGTATGCGTGACTCTCCCATTGAGAGGAAATTTTCAAGATTTTTTCCTTTTCTATTTTGATAATAATAGGGAAAACTACTTTAGTAATTTTGGATTATTTCTTTAGAGACGACGACCTGCCTTTTCTGATTATAACGTAAATAAAATCAGTTGCACAACAACAACAAAAAAACTTAGATAAAATACTTATCAAAAGAGATTATAAATTCAATGATTTTTTGTTTTCTTATTATTTTAAAAGTATTTATAAAATCACATCAAGTTAAACAAATATATGATTGGATTGCTATTACTAATGGCAATTTCTTCCGATGACTTCTCTTTTAGCTATGTTATTATTATATATGTGATCCATATGATGATGGTATAACAGTTTACATAAAAGAGGGTTGAATAAATGTATTTAATCACTAATATGATTCTTATACATAGTAATTCCATGTAGGGCTTGGGATGCCAATGTTGGTCAATTGGCTCTCTGAGCTTCCTTCTCCATAACTCTCTGATTTTTCGACATTTTTTGTGAGTTGACTTAGCAAAGTTCGGATAATCATTTGATCAGGGGAAGCATTAAACAACGGGCTGGAGTTTTTGGAGACTAGACCGGATTGGTTGGTTTGGTTCTCTGACAAATTATTGGAGAAGCAGGGTACATGCTGATTGATGATGTGATGATCGAAGTTAATGTAAGGGTCCATGAATGCAGGAGCTGTTTCATTAGAGCAGCTTTTTGTGTTGTCGACTCTATCAGCTCCGTTGCTGTTCTTATGGAAAACTCTACATAATACCCACTCTTCCTGTTTTAGTTTATCAAAACAAAACAAATTTGTCAAAATTATGGTTAAGAGTAGATATGTGTACCAAGTCATAAATCATTTTAAATCAGCCACAAATAAATCTTGAAAAATCGTCAGAAAAATCCTACAAAGACATTTAACATTCAGGTTGAATGTGAAAGAAAGATAAAGTCAAAAGTTTTGCGTTAAGTCATGGGATAATATACTATAATATGATTGAGATATATCCGGCCGTTTGCTTGATACATGGTTAATTTGATATTTATATCCAAAACACACAAACTATGTTTTAAAAAATAAAGAACTGAACCTCTGAGTGTATCATGATCATATGAACCTCAAAATATCTAAGAAAAAGTATAATTAATTGGCAAATATATAATGTAATACTACCTTGGTTCCAATATAAATGTTGTTTTGCTTTTTTATGCAACTTAAAAATAAATCAGTTGTTCTATTATATATCGAAAAAAGTTGACTTTTGAATTTCAACTATTTTTCACATTTCTTGTTAATACTCCGTAAAAGAAAATTATATATTTGATAGTGAATTCCAAAACCCAAAAAGACATTTGATGATTAGAAGAGTGAATAATACCTTGAGAGAATTAGAAGAGTGGTGAAGAAGTGTTCCTTGGAGACGAAACTCATGCATGACCCAATCGGTTTTACGACCTTTAGGGGCTCGACCTCGGTAAAACACAAGTGTCTTTCTCATACCCACCAGACTACCATTTCTTTGGATTGCTCTATCTTTTCCGGTGGCTTTCCAATAACCGGTGGCCGTAGCCCGGTTTGTTCTGTGGCCTGTTGTGTATTTCCGATCTTTTTGGCTGTAAAAATACCATTTTTTCCCTCCCACTCTCGCCATTTCTGAAAATGACCTTTTTATATACTATATAACTTAACTATTGATAACAAGTTAGGCGTTGAATTTTCTTTCTTATTAGTATGTCACATACATTAATGGATTATTTTAGTTTTAAATTAAGGGAGGGGTATTTTCTCCAATATATTTTGGAAACTTGATGATAAGAATAATATAAAAAGAGAATTCTCTTCAGAATTGTCTTTATCTTAATGACATATTCAATAATATATAGCCAAATGATTTCTATCCGTATCATATCTTAACCAACCAGGTTCCTAATTACCAAGCATCGAATAGGCATTCAACACGTCTGCAAGATTAGGATGATTTGTTCTTTCATTATGTAAACTGACAGTATCATTTTAATCTTAAAATAAACGTAATATATGCGTCTAATGATGAATGTGAAACTAAGCATTAATAATTGTGCAGTTAAATTGGTCTTTCCACGATAAATTAGTAAGAAACAAAATACTAATTCGCAGGTGGCTCTCAAGTAGAATTTTTTTTTTTTCTCAATCATCTTGTACTTGATATATAGAAGAAACAATAAACAGATCAAGATCAGGTTGGAAACAGGAATATGGATATAATAGCGATCGAATGGTTTAAACAATATTTTAGATGAGTTGAGAGTTTTGTGTACACACACACATATATATATAACTATTTCTGAATAATTTAAATGAATCCTTGAGTAAAAGAGAGAGAAAACACAAAATTACTTACGAGGAATGTCCCAAGGCTCGCACTTGTTGAGATCGACGTCGATCAAGACAACTGGTTGATAGAGGCTGCGAACGGTTCTTCTCATCAAGTAGTCGCAGACGAGCTCGTCGTCTCTAGGATGGAACCTAAAACCAGGAGGTAGGTTAGCCTCAACCATACTTATACTGCCCTTCTTCTCTTCTTTTTCCTCCATTTCTATTAATATCTGAAGATTTGTTTACTTAGTGTTTATTATCATCTGATGATACGTTAATATAATTGTGTGTGAAGATGGGAGAGAGAGATGGAGAGGGATATCGGGAGTTTTGTGAACCAGAGGAAAGAAGAACGGTGGTATAAATAATTAGCAAGTCATAAAGTCAACTTCAATATATTTAATTTAATCCTCCATGTAGATTTAACATTTTTTTTCTTTCTAACCACTACTTTCTTTTAAATTCCAAAATAAATTCATAGGTCTTGAAGGATGTAGCTTTCAGTTTAAGTGTTTTTTTTTTTCTAAGTTTAAAAATTCATTTTATCTTCCAATCAAGTTTTTTTAAAAAATTCCCCCTGAAATTTACGAAAATTAATTATCACCTTAAGTTTTCCTATTATCTGAATAAAATAAAGACTACTTAACTTTGGTTTTAGAAAAACCAACTACCAAAACTAAAACGAAGGGTATAACAAAAACTATAAATGGCTGGATGGTGTTTAGGTCAGTTTATGCTCTCTATTTGTAATTAACTGAGACTTTTTTGTCTGTTAGAAAATAAAGGAGAAGCAGTGTACAAATTAACAGGTGATGATATAATTCCATAGTTGTTTTTGTTCTGAACATTAAATATTTAGAAGCTGTGCGAAAATTAATTGTGTTGCCACAAAAACAGTAAATATTTGTCTGAACAAGCAAAAGTCCAGAAGTAATAACAAGTCGGACCATTTATAGTTTTAAGACTGAAGTTACGTTTCGTTATGGGCTTACCTGGTGCTGTCATTTGTATTAAGTTGAGGTGAATCGGTAAATCTATGGAAGCGATATCGTACCAACTTAATTATGGGAGACAAAAACTTATCTTTGACTTGCCTTTTAATGCTACCTTTTTTATTTTAGAGGAAAACAAAAAAAAAAACAAATTATTTCATTTTGTTTAATGTACTTTGATATAAATGTGTCTATTCTATTGGATTTGATGTAACATAAATCTTTGGGGAATGTGGGTGTGAGGCACACAGTCCATACAAAATGCTGCAAAATTATATGCACTGATATTTAACAAAACCTTTACATTGGAAATTCCAAAGTACATTTATAAATATTCATCTCAAAAACCATTGAAAGAGAGTCTATAGTTTGACAAAAACAGAGAGACGTGCAAAGTCACAAAAAACGAAACAAATAAAGTAATAAACCATGCATGCTACAAGGGCATTGCTAATAATACCGATCAAAGACATACAAATAGATTAGGTGGATCAAAACATCATAAGATATACATTCAAAAGTCAAGAATAAATCGTAACTAAAATATCTGACGGTGATATATAAGTCATCACTTGAGTGAATCATCGAAACTTTACGTCAAATGATACAAATAAATCATACAAATGTGTGAAATGGGTTTAAAAGTTATAATATTTTTCCATGATATTTTCGTAAATACAAATATTTCTTACCATATGTAACAGATTTTAAAGGCCGTGTACTTGTGAATGATCAGACTCGATTCTTATTTGTATTTGGTCACCATAAACAAATGGACTCGACTAAGTAAAATATATTTTCATATTAAATGCAATCTAATATTTTTCCTATCAAAAATGGTCAACAATTTTGCGAATATCTAACACTCAATTCGCATCTCCGTGTTAGGAATGAAATATCAATCGATTTGGTTATTTTCAATCCGACCCGACCCGACCCGACCCAGCCCGAATCTTTACCCGAAACAAGGGGATCAAGTAAGAAACACGTGTCCGCTTTAGATGTGAGAATCTAAAGCTGAGCTGTATAAATTACTTGTCTCTGTCGTCGCCACTTCTCTACAAACCCTAAGAGACCGCCAAAAAAAACAACACACACTCTCTCTCTCTCTCTCTCTCTCGATATCGACGGTAAATGGCGTCGGGTTGCGTTAAAAATGTGGGTACTTCACCGAGTCACTCATGGACGAGCTCCAAAATGTCATTGACCCGTGAATCTCAACCGTTGGCTCCACAGTTGGAAAACGAAGATCCTGTTGACAACTTTGAGTTTCTTCTCGAAGATCCCGTCACAATGCTATCCGCCGACGAGCTTTTCTCCGACGGAAAGCTAGTCCCGCTTAAGTTTTCCGCCGTGACTAATCCGGAAGAGAAGCCTATGACGTCGGTGGTTCATACGGCGGTGAAACCATGCCGAAGATTGGAAATGAAGATCTCCGGCGTCGTCGATCCTTATCTCTTCTCTCCGAGAGCTCCTCGTTGCACCGTGAGATGGCGTGAGCTTTTAGGTCTAAAGAGACTCGCCAAAACACAAGAAGAAGCGTCAGCGTCGTCCTCATCGCGTTTGTCTTCTTCTTCTCCAAACCCCAAAACGGCATCGTTTAGGCATTTTCTCAACCGGAGTTCTAAATCCACCGCTCAACCACCGTCTCACCCGCCGCCGGGAAAAGACTCAGACATCTTGGAATCGTCGTCAACGTCGATCTCCTCTTCACGTCTCTCTCTCTCGTCGTCTTCTTCCTCCGGTCACGAGCTAGACGACCTTCCAAGACTATCTTTAGATCTCGACAACAAACCCGGAACACCAAACCCGTTCGCTCGGTCACGTGCTCACCACCACCACCATCTGCGTAACCAGAACCAACAAAGAAAGCCACGACGTAACGCACCGGCTGATGAATTGACAGAGAGTAGTATTGAGACAAGGGCAATGACGGTGACGGCGGATAGTCCTAGACTCAATGCTTCAGGGAAGATCGTGTTTCATGGACTGGAGAGAAGCTCAAGCAGTCCCGGTAACTTCACCGGAGGACCAAGAATGAAGCTTCACCATGGAATGCCGAGATCTCACTCCGCAAATGTCAGAATCACTCCTGTTCTCAATGTCCCTGTCTCTTCTCTCCGTAGCGGACCCAAATCAGGTCTCTTCTTCGGCCAGCTTTTCGCTTCTTCGTCTTCTTCTTCTTCGTCGTCGTCATTGGCTTCGTCGTCTGGAAACAGAGCACAGTTGCAGAGCAATAACATCAAGAACCGTACCAATCGAAGCAGACTTGAACCGACAAGCGAACTCTAAGAACCGAACCGGATACTAATTGTACCGACTTTATTAGGGGGTAAAATTTTCGCTTTGGGGTTGTTTCGTTAGATGAGATTAGATGTGGGTCCAGAATGTAAATAAGGTGAAGTATTTGATTTTCCTTGAGGTTCTTCGAAGAGCAGCGGGTCGTTCGATAACAAAGTCAGTCATTAATATTACTGTAGCAAGAGTGAGAAGTGGTTCCCATGTTCAGAGATTGATTCCGAAGATATTAATAATATAAACAAGTTTTGACTCATTAGCACAGTGTACTTTTATCATTTGTATTTACACTTTTGGGAGCGACAGCTTTTGTTCCTCTTTTATTTTAGTTCTCTACGAGAAATAAAATATTAAGTAATGATTTTGCATGTTAGAGACAAATCCAAAATGCAAATCCTCTCCGTATCAACTTAAGTGTAATAATTTGATGATAAAGAGACAGCTTTACCATGTTGGCCCAGATTAAGATTTACTACTATAAATCTTCTGGATATGTAACTTCAAGCAGCTTTGGATAATACTAATTGAATTTGTTTATAAGCAATGAAAGTGAGGGACATAACATTAAAATAAAGGGCCGAAAAAAAACAAACTGAAGGGTAAAATGGGGAATGGTCAAAGCGTGAAGAAAGATGTCAGTCATATGAGCTGCAATTTTTTCGAGTAAATGAAGTTTGGCTCCAATAATTTCATCTTTTCAAAAAATACATCACAAATAAAAGTTGCTGGTCGTTCTCGAACACTGTGTTTTCAATCCCATCCGTTGGATGCTTCCTTCGTCCTCACCTAGCTCAGTTTAGTGACCACAATAATATAAGCCTACAAGTTCACGTTTTCTTTTTTGGTTTCAATGTGAAGCTGCAAGTTCTTGTTTATCATTTGTTTTGATGGTTCCACACGTATAGAAGGAACGGATTAACTAATTGCTTGTGAACTACAACATTTTGTTTTGGGACGAATAATAATTTGGACCAATTTTTCCAACAGAAAAATATTAGTTGGCATACTTGTAAACTAAATTAATTTCCAGTTCACAAGGGGATTAGTCTATTTTGTTTGATGATTGAAAACTATTGTTTTCAAGTATTTCAAGAGGTAAATATAAATTTAAGTTAACTTTTGTTATTAGTTGGTGACTTTGGAGCATGCCATCTAAGGGCATGATTATAGGTAGTCTCTTATAAATATTTTTTAGCAATATTTAAGTAGAGCCACCTTACCACCCTTCAACCACGGAAACTACCAAGCGAGAATGTAAAATAGATGGTTCATGGCTTGAATGAGTTGAATCCTATTCTTTCAATGGACAAGGGTAAATTGTTATGGAAGTAATATACCTCTCTTTATGATACTAAGAAGCTTCTGGTGGGGATTATCTCCTCTTCAAACAGAATTTGAGACTCTGTTATGGGCTATAGAAATGCCTTATCAAAGCTTCGAAGACGAATATTGGCTTTGCCTCTCTGAGCTAATATCTATTTTAGATAATCTTTCGGAGTGGCATACATTTCCAATACAGATTCAACTTTTTAATTTTTTGAATTTTTCTACGTATAAGCATGTAATTTGATGTCTTTATTTGTTTTTTTCTTTCTATGCCATAAAACAAAACAGAGTCCGAAACAAATTCTGCGGTGGTCTTTTTGACCGGTCTTGAATTTATGGGGACCCATCGTCCTCTTGCCAATTATTTGGATTTGGAACGTACAACACTACAACATATAAAAACAGTGTTAAACACTGATTACTACACTTTTGTTTTTCAACCACATATTAGTATATTACTACAATTTACTCACCAATTTCAAAGGATGTTCTCACGAGTCGCCTTCAATCCAAATGGTGTAAAATATTTGAATTGGCTCGATATTTTTGCCTCAACGAGTTAAAAAGTAACACTGATTTTACGGAATTTTTAGTTTACTTAAGATATGTACAACTCAATTAACATAAATCTATTGTTGTTGTGAATAATAAAAACTGGAACGTATCGTCCTTAATTATTAGGTGTTTTTTTTTTTTTGCTTCTTCTTCTAAATCTTTTTTTTTTTAACGTCTGGATTTATTATTTATTGCAAATTATGAGAACTATTACATAGACGATTTTACAACGGACAATTCTTTCCGACCCTTATTAGATCCACGACAGACGACACTTTCTTCACCTTCTTCTTCATACTCACCTCCTTCACCTCCTTCTTTATGCTCTTGATGTATGTGGGACTCGAACCCCAGACCTCTGGGTGTAGAATCATTAATTAACCCTTCTTCAACCAATGGGCCAAGAGGGCTTATTCTTCTAAATCTATGAATTATGTAAATACACCTTTAAAAGAATTCTTTTATAAGCCTCAAAATCAGACAGAAATATGGAATGTTTATCTATATGTGGTGTAACTAAACGTCTAAACCTAATTCATATAGGTCCTTGTAGCATCCAGTCCGTGGTAAACTTTTGGCTTACTCGAATAAGACATTCTATACAGTATAACAGTACATATCGATTTTCAATCAGCTAGAACAAATATACTCGCGGACTCAAATGTGAAAAAGTGCTATGAAACTTTTTGAACTATAAATAATATATATTTACCAAACAAAAGCAATAATAAGGATAGAAAAGTAAGAGTAAGGTGGGGAAAAATGAAGACGAGAACGTGATACTTCCCAGTCTTGCGCCCTCTGATAGATTCTCTATCTCTTATTAACTTATTTGATTCTCATGATGCTTTCATTCATATGCCTCTTTGCTCTTTTCTATATATTTCCGCATTTATATATATATATATATATATATTTATTGTTTATATCGGAGTAACGAGCCACGACAAATGGCCTAAGTAGAAAAGGCCGACAAGAAAGGAGGAATTAGTTAGAAATAGATACCCAGTTTAGTACGTCAAAGTAGACATTAACATGTTATAGTTTTCACTTTTCATAGGGGCAAAGACAAATACCATAATCCATAGATATAATCCAATTATAAAAACCCTATAAACCTTAGGTAAGCAACGTCTTGTTGTTTCTGCTAGACTGATTAACATGTTCAATCATGCATGAAACCTAAACTCTCGGATTTGTTGTGTGATTAAATTAAATGTAAAGTCGAACAATATGCTAATCAATTTTTTGGGCACTTAAGAAGGCATATATACTAGTTTGTCTAAGGATTCGTTCTCTATATATTCAAAGTTTGATGTTTCTCGTTATTGGAGAGAGCATGAAAGGGAGAGAAAAATATAAGAGCACTTCCATATGTTAGAAACTCTATTGAGTGTTTAACAAATAAAATAATATTAATTTTTTATTATTTAATTGTTTATTTAAACTAATTAGAAGAAGACAACTGTAAAAATGGGTGTCTCAGAGTTTCTCAAATGAGAAACAGTTTCTGTCCTCTCTCCTCCTTTTTTAATTTTTTATTCTGTTTTATTGGAGATTGTCTCACCTAGATACTCCCAATAGAGATGGTCTAAGAATTATGACGGAAAGTGGACATCATTTTCACGTTGAATATGAAACACTAAAAAATATGAGCGGTTTTAATTCTAGGTATTTAGTCGTTTTATGAGATTCGGGAAAATTACGTTATACATTAATAATGCGCGTGACTACACCAGTACACCACCCACTCTATATGAATTGAAACAATGCAGGTCCTTATCTTAACTTGGCAACAATTGTTATATAGTGTGAGAGTGATAAAGATCCACAGCTAGGATGCTATGTATATCTAATGCAGAAAAATAGTAATAATTCCATGGCATGCATTAAATCAGGCTGGTGGTAGCCCCTCTCGTTTGACCGATATTATATGATAAGTTTTGTTATGAGCATGGAACATCATCTCTATCTCTCTCTCTCTCGTCTCTCTATCTTACATTGGCATTTAGTGAGTGTGAATGTGAATGGAACAAGGGGACATACATATATTGGCTGCAGAAAAAAGAGAGGGCAGCTTGAGCTGGGTTCTTACCTGTTTGTTACAGTGAACCAGATGCGACAAATTTAATAGTACTATTACTTTACAATAAAAAGAGCACAGAGAGCAGCAAAAATACAAAAGAAAACAAAAAGAAATATGTATATGTGATTTGTAATGGGCAATAATGAGGATGTAAATGAGTTATATTCACTGTTAAAGTCAAAACTGGGAGTATGTGTTGATGATGGGTAAGAAGAAGCAGCAGCACTTGTTTTTCTTGTCTTCTTCTCACAATCTCGCTGTGTACCACATCTTTGTACTTTCTTCTTCTTCTTCTCTAATCTCTCCCATATTTATTCATCTTTCACTTTCTTAATCTCAATTATATAATCTAAAATCGTTATAGGGGCCTTCAATTTTTAGGCCCATTTGAAATATCAGGGCCTTATCAGAATTTAGCAAGGGAAAACGGAAAACCCTAGCTATATATTTTGGAGACTCTCCTCGTAAGTGGAGAGAACGGCGAACGAAGCATCATGAGAGCCAAGGTTTGTTCATTTCCTCTGTAATCTGCTTTTCTTTTCTCTATGATTTGTTGTGTCTTAGATACTTGGATTTGCTTACTGTTCTTAATTTTTTATGCTGCTCTATAGATTACCTTGTCAATTTGACTCTCTATTGAATTGATTGTTATACATATAGAGAACAAATCTACCTTGAAATGATTACTGGGAAGTGCTATGTTAGATATAAAATTAGGAGTGAAATAATTAGTGATCTCTTGTTTTGTTATAGCGATCTACTCAATTTCTTATAGCGTTGTGCTTAGATAAGATTAATGGTTCTTTCGTAAATTTCACTTCATTTGTATACTATTCATAGAAGTTTGTAGAAGATTATAAATTCCAGTTCTTGATACTGTCATTGACTTTGGCTGAACATTTTTTTGCCAGTGGAAGAAGAAGCGTATGAGGAGACTAAAGAGGAAGCGCCGAAAGATGAGACAGCGATCCAAGTAGTCCATTCCATTGTGGATGTGTCTTATTTCTAGTTTCTTGCCTTCTTGAATCAGTTTTTGAACCTTTTGTGACTTTTTGCATTTAATCTTGAACAATCATCCGAGTCTGTATTCAGAATTTGGTTCACTCCTTTATCTACTAGATGCATTTCTGGCAAAACAGATATTTGTTTTTGAGTATTTCATTACTTCAGTCTGTTATATATATGTTGTGTTTATTTGAGTGTAGAGATTGTAGTTATCGTTAGCTCTTAGAACATGCATCCAGTCTGTCTTATTTTGATAGCTATAGTTGCCTACATATATCGAACAAATTAAACCCGATACCAACTCTAACTGTGAATTCAACGGGGACTATCGTCCGTGCGTGTTCCCTTTATATCAAAGATGTCACGTTGCATCTGTGTTTGATCGCCTGATGCTGAATGATCTTTCCCCTTCTCGATACGTTGAGCGCTCGAGAACAGCTCTACAGGCTCCGACTCTGCGATCTTGCCTCCTTCTAATGGTGTCCCGTGTTTGTAACTTACACGGATAGGTTCGTCTTCCGATAGCTTCGCTTGAGCCGTTGCGTACTTTATGTCGTCCTTGTTCTTTGCCATTTTTAGGGTTTCAGGCATCACGAGGGGACATGAGACATCGTATATAAGGTGAGGCAGGTTCGACGTGTCCCTTTCCGGGACTTTCGTGCTGGCTTCTCTCTGCTTCTTCGTTTCTCTTTTCTTGACACGTTCTCTATGTTGCAATGCCAACACATTCATTTAATTTTCTTTGTATGCAAGTAAATATACTTTGGTGGATAAGATGAAATATTGTACAGAAATTATGTGGGGATGTACCTGAAGGAAATGTAATCTTGAAGTTTATGAATCAACTAAATAAATTAGCTGCAAGACCCTAATTATAAATTAAATGGTTACCAATTGAGAGACGTAGCAACTACCTTCTCGCTCCTTTATAATACCCCTTTCTCTCTTTCTGAGTATGTTTCAAGTATATTCTTGAAACAGCAAAAATAAAAGAGAGATAGAGATAG